TAAAGTAGTCCAAGAATCACACGAAGAAACTGCAGCCAGTATTTTCCATGCTTCGTTGGCAACCATAACGCGGACTGTACTGGTATGAGAGTTGATAGCAATCCAGAAATTTTTGCCACAAATTACGATACATTTTTCACCATACACGGTGTAAACAAGAGCAGAGGAAGGGCTAACACGTAAAATCTTTGTGCTACAGTAGAGAAAATTTAGTTTTTTGACACCTTTTCGCTGAGGCCATAATTTTAAAATTTTCTAATTATTATCTTCAAAACAGATTAACTCACTTGGGGTAGTCCTTGTCGTTCTCGTAAACAAAATCCGATGTAAGGGCACTAGAATGATGAGCCATCCGTTTTCTTCTTTTAGCCCGTTCACCAAGTGCCTGGCTGTAGCTTCCAATGGTAGTATCCCACGAGGAAGCTTCGTCGGACAGTCTGTCTGCCGCGTTCGTTTTGAGGGACGCAGAGGTCGGTGTTCCAGAGGGGTATTTTACAGCCCAGGAGCGGAGATCTTCCAGCTCATTACGGCGTCGACCTACAAGGAAATCCATTCAAGGTGACTTCGGACTCAGAGCAGGGGCTTTCACCCAGCATTAACCAGTGGGGTTCAACTTGTACAAAAGGCAGGATAAAGTACGTCAACCAGGCTGCTATAATGAGCACATCTACCACGGAAGTATTTTCAAATACAATGACACAGAAGTGTCCTAGTACAAGGAAAGGGAATAAATACACCCCTATTTTTAAATAAAACAAAAGTTCAGGCAGTCACTATACCAAATACCAAACCCTCTAACATGAGCAAGGCGCGATAACACCACTTGGCCTAGGTAGGTTTTAGAGTAAGATTTGAATGGTTCACCGGAAAATATAAAGTTCATTATTAATATACAGGTTTTAAGTAAATTCAGTAGGTTTACTTACGTCTGGATACCATTGGTCTTCTTCTTGGTGGCTTTCCTGATGAATTAAAGGCTTTATTGATGGAATGTAAATGCGCATTGGTAGGTGACTGCATGGAGGGTGTTGGTTTGGGATTCTGTTGCGAGGAGTTGAGGTAACTCGCCAGGCCCATGGGCGTGACCTGGTACATGGGATCTGCAAGACTGGCTATATCATAACCCTTTAAATGACTAGCAGACATCTTCTGAGGAGTTGACATGTGCAGAGCATTGTTGTTAAATTCCGAAACGGAGGTGGAGGTAGGAATGTTATCCAAAAACAAAGCTTGGTCTTGGGCGGGTCGCTTTAAATCATAATCCAAGTGAGAGGCCACCATGAATGAACCCCGATAAACCTTGCTTTCTTGGGAAGGGGAACAATTGCTTGCTTGGCCGGTTTCGCCAGAAAACAGCGGACCAGAGCATACTGATGGAGCAAGGCTTGAACTCATGCCCAGGAGATCCGTAGGAATGTAATTGTCGTAGTCTATGACAGAAAAATTTGGTGGAGCAGGGGCAACAGGATTTGATGTGCTAGAATTGAAAGCATGCGACACGGCAAGGTCATTGAGGAAAAGGTCAGGGGATGCATAGTCCATTCTACTTGAGCTTGAATTTATAATTGACGTGTCAAAGACCATGCGTAAATCGGCGGGGTGGGAAGAGGGATTGCTTATAGCAGCTATTCCTTCAAGCATACTGTTCGGAGACAAGGTGGAAGGAGGCGGAAGTGATGTTTTCTGATCAAGCTGCCCTGAACTTGTGAAGTTGGAAGGAACAACACTAGTTAGCTTGGTAGGCATAGGAGCAGTGCCGTTGGCAGATAGAACGAGCTGCGGCGACACTGTCAAGGGATCGATAGCATTAGAAGTCGGTTTGGAGAAAGGTAGACCTTGGTTAGACTTCGACTCCAGCAGATTACTAACCGAAAGGTTTGGCTGTTTGGACTCCCGACTTCGATGCCTCTTGCGATCGTGATCTTTAGACCGCTTTGTTTTCTTTTCTTTCTTGGCTTTTGACTCGGTGGACTGAGGATTACAAGTAGAATCATCGGCAGGAGGACGTTTAAATGAAAACTTGAGAAGAATCTTCTTTTCGTCAGGGTTCACATTTACACTCACACC